AAATGAGAGAGAAACTAACCTCTCTTTTAAGTGTCCACATTCCTTCAGGGTTGAATCAAGTCTGTGGGATTCCAGAGCTAGGATCCTTTTGTGGGGGACCTCAGTCTCACTGAGCCCAGTGAATATCAAGCTCACTAGAAACTATATAATCATTTTCCATTGTCCTTGTTGATGTCACTAGCATCATTATACATGGATGTGTAAGTTCATCACTCCAAAAGCTGTTTTGTTTGAAGTTGTGGTAAGCTCCTGTTACATTTCTTGGCTAAAGTCTTATGGTATTACTGATGAAGCATCAGTTATAGATATTATCATCAGAGATTGAAATTAATTTCTATTCAAATTCTGTTTTTCACAAATATTTTTATTAGTACAGTGGTATACAGAAATAAACAGGAAAATTGTGGTACCTTTTTAAAAATGGCTAAGTGTTACTCAATGCTTTCTAATCTCTAATCTTATTCATAGACCTTGATTAGAATATTATTTTACAGCTCACCTGGATCCCCTTCACTTAAAGTTCAGTCCTTTCCAGTATATGTTTGTGTCTCATATTATCCCAGGTGACCCTGAGGAAGCCTGATGTAATGACAAAAGTCATTGAAGGTCACTTTTCTCATCTGCCAAAGACTTCTTTCTCTGACAAGGAAATTCTTGGATTTGCCTTTACATATTTCTGATGTTCTCTTTCTTTTGCAGAAGGCAAAAGAGAGTCAAATTGATGTTGCTCATGTGTATGAAAGTTGGGATCTTTTCCCCATTCCAGACAGAAATAAGTACTTCCCCTCTCTCTTCATAGAAAAACAGAGATCACTTCCCTCCTCTCAAAACTTGTTCTACTTAACATCTAAATCCCAAACAATCTAATAAACATTTAAGCATCAAATCTATTTAAAGCACCATATATAGTGCTGAGGATATTATACAGAAACAAAATAGTCATTTCATTCAAAGGGCTCACATTCTACTGGGGATATGCAACATGTACACATGCAAGTAAATGAGAAATAGATACAAATTAATTGGGGGAAAGAGGAGAGAGAGACAGAGAGAGAGAGAAACAGAGAGAGAGAGAGAGAGAGAGAGAGAGAGAGAGAGAGAGAGAGAGAGA